GCGGCATGTGGGATCCTCCCGGACCAGGGCACGAACCCGCGTCCCCTGCATCAGCAGGCGGACCCCCAACCACCGCGCCACCAGGGAAGCCCAGCAATAAAGTATTTTTAAATAAGGTATGTAGGGACTTTCCTGGTGGCACAGTGGTTAAGAATCCGCCTGCCAATGCAGGGGACACGGGTTCGATCCCTGGTCTGGGAAGATCCCACATGCCACGGAGCAACTAAGCTCGTGCGCCACAACTACTGAGCCAGCGCTCTAGAGCCCGCAAGCCGCAACTACTGAGCCCATGTGCCACAACTACTGAAGCCAGAGCGTCTAGAGCCCATGCTCCACAACAAGATAAACCACCACAATGAGAGGCCTGAGAACCGCAACAAAGAGTAGCCCCTGCTCGCCGCAACTAGAGAAAACCCGCGTGCAGCAACAAAGGCCCAATGTCGCCAAAAATATAATTAATTAACTAATTAAGGTATGTACATTGACTTTTTTTTAAAGACATAATGCTATTGTACACTTGACAGACTACAGTTTAGTGTAAGGATAACTTTTATATGCAGTGGGAAATCAAAAAAATTCATGTGGCTTGCTTTTATTGCGGTATTCGCTTTATTTTAAAACTTCATTCTTTTTATTTGTCTATTTATTTATTTTGGGACACACCATGCAGTTTGCAGGATCTTAGTTCCCTGACCAGGGATCGAACCCGGGCCCCTGGCAGTGGAAGCGTGGAGTCCTAACCACTGGACCACCAGCAAACTCCCATTGCGGTAATTTGCTTTATTTTGGTGGTCTGGAACTGAACCCACCGTACCTCTGAGGTCTGCCTGTAATGAGTTTTCTCTTTTAGCTGTGTGCTAAGTACTTTACAGATCTGTATCATTTAATCCCCACAGTAAACTGTAAGATAGGAATTGTTATCATTCCCATTTATCAGATTAGGAAACGAGGCCCAGAGAGGTCACTTATGTACTTTTCCCCACATGTGCAAAAGGGATTCTGAAATTACCCGACAGCCCAGCTTTTCTCACCAGACGGGGCAGGGACGCACTGTGCTCCCCAGGCATTGCTGGACACAGCAGTGATCCCTCCTGGCAGTCTGTAACTCAGGGAGTGTCCCCCACGCCCACCACCTCCTGTGCACATTCCCAAGGCACTCACACAAACTCAGATTCCAAGTTGAGCCCCCTCCCCCAATTCTGGAGACGCCTGGAATGAAAGAGGTGCCCACAAACACGTTCATCCCTCAAAGCCAACAGTCACCATCTCGCGGTCTTGTGCCACTGGAGAATACTCCACTATCTATTTAAAACGTGAGGCCAGTGGAAAGGACACAAACCCAGGTAGAGGTATTTCCCACTTTCGTCCTTCTCTGCCAAAGGACTCCCTTCCTTCTCCAGCTCTTTCCTGTATCTCTTGATGTTTTTCACCATCAGATCCTTCCGCGTCAGTTCATAGTGGTTCGGGAAATGGTTGACTATTTGATCATCTGAGAGCCGGTAGCCAGTCTCGACACTAAAAACATTGCGGATGGTTTGCACACTCATCCTGAAAGAGAAGCACAGAAGGGATGTGCAGGACAGAAGCTCAGAATGTGTCCATGTGGAGGCGGGTGTCATTAAAGCCCGGGGACTCCTGACCAGGAAGCACGCTCCCTCAGAGCTTACCTGTCCCCAGCCCGGCACCGAGCCAGGTGCCTGGCCACAGCGGCAGGCTGTGTCCCCGCTGACTGTACCTCAACTATATGAGGCAGGGGCTGTTTTGACTCTCTGCCCTGATTGGTTGTACTCTCTGGCACAGAGTAGATGCTCAATAAATGTTTATCAGTTAATGATAACATTGATTTTGATACCAAACTAATGAAAGTCAGACTCTGAAGTCAGGAAACTATTGACTCAATATCTGCACCCCAAGTCAGGAAGGACAGGGACCCCCTAAAACCAAAACCCCACGGACTTCCCTGGTGGTCCAGTGGTTAAGAGTCCATGCTTCAACTGCAAGGGGTGCAGGTTCCATCCCTGGTCAGGAACTAAGATCCCACATGTCACGTGGCAAACCCAAAAAATTAAAAACAGCAGAAAAACAGGGGTTATTTAGGGACCCTGAGTTGGCATGTGATATTCTTAGAGAGACCCCTGACAGGCCAGCTAAACTGCGAAGCCCCCACTGAAATGAGAGTTGAAAGAGAAATGGATTCCTTCTCATCCTCTAAGAAAGCCAGTCTCCCTGCCACATCTGTCTGACTTCCCTAGCCCCCCCAGAGAAGCAGGAAGGATGGAAGGGCTGGCACCCACAAGGGAGTCCTGGAGTCACAAGACAAGGCAAGGTCCTCTCTGTACTCCCTGCCCCCAACCCGCCCCCTCCCCATAGCACCAACCAGAGGGTTTCTTTTGATTCCATAATCATTAGAACAAAAGGATTAAAACAAAAAACATTTTTTATTATGGGAAAGCTCAAACACACGAAGAACTATAGAGAAAAGTGTAACAGGACCCCGTAATCCAGCTTCAACAGTCACCACGAGGCCAGTCTTGCTTTGCCTGTACCTCACAGCACTGGCTCATTTTGAGGCACTTCCCAGATACCATATCATTTCATCCAAAATATTCCTGTTAGAATCTCTAACAGTTAAGGACTCCTTTTTATATTATATGATATCCTATTTTATACTGTTATCACAACTGAAAAAAAAAAGGAGCACAGCCAATTCCATTTTTTTAAAAATTTATTTATGGCTGTGTTGGGTCTTCGTTTCTGTGCGAGGCCTCTCTCTAGCTGCGGCAAGTGGGGGCCACTCTTCATCACGGTGCACGGGCCTCTCACTATCGCGGTCTCTCTTGTTGCAGAGCACAGGCTCCAGACGCGCAGGCTCAGTAATTGTGGCTCACGGGCCCAGTTGCTCCGTGGCATGTGGGATCTTCCCAGACCAGGGCTCGAACCCGTGTCCCCTGCATTGGCAGGCAGATTCTCAACCACTGCACCACCAGGAAAGCCCTTTTTTTTTTTTTGCCTGCACCACGCAGCTTGCAGGATCTTAGTTCCCAAACCAGGGATCGAACCTGTGCCCCTTGCAGTGGAAGCGCAGAGTCTTAACCGCTGGACCACCAGGGAAATCCCAGGAGCAGTAATTCCTAAATATCATCAAATATTACTCAGTGTTCAAATCTCCCCAGTTGTCTGATAAATATTTTTTTACAACTTTTGCAAATAAGGGCCAGGCCTTCTGATCAGCTGTTCTCTCTCTCACACATCTCTTTAAATCTATACATTCTCCCCCACCCCTCCTTAATTTTTTTCTAGGCAATTTATTTGTTGAAGACACCGGGTATCTGTTCTGTAGGGGTTCTCACAGCTTCCTTATTTATCATGCTCCCCAGGGCCCTGTACTTCCTGTAAGTTGGGAGTCAGACCTAGAGGTCTGATGAGCTGCAGGCTGATGGGGCCTGGCAGAGCTGCGTCCCGGGGTGGCATCCAGCCGGAGAGCCTCTCCCTTCGGGATGTCAGTGACTAATCAGCTGCATGGCCCAGTAGAAATAGAATGTGACCCACAGCTGAGTCACATAGTGAATTTTCTAGTAGTCACATTAAAACAAAAGTTAAAGGGGGACTTCCTTAGTGACACAGTGGTTGGGAATCCACCTGCTAATGCAGGGGACACGGGTTCGATCCCTGGTCCAGGAAGATCCCACATGCCGCGGAGCAACTAAGCCCATGCACCACAACTACTGAGCCCGCGTGCCACAACTACTGAAGCCCGCGCACCTAGAGCCCGTGCTCCGCAACAAGAGAAGCCACCACAATGAGAAGCCCGTGCACCGCAACGAAGAGTAGCCCCCGCTTGCCACAACTAGAGAAAGCCCGCGTGCAGCAACGAAGACCCAACGCAGCCAAAAAAAAAAAAAAAAAAGTTAAAGGAAAGAGGTGAAAGTAATTTTAATGTATCTTATTTAATCTAATATATCCAAAATATTATCATTTCAACATATTACCAACATAAAAATTTGTGATGAGGAATTTTACATTTGTTTCTTCATACTAAAACGGGAGTGTACATCACACTCCAGCACATACGTCTCCGTCTGGACCAGCCACACTTAAGTGTCCTATTGTCCTGTGGTCAGCGGCCTCCGTCCTGCACAGGCATAGACCCTTATGCTGTGAGGGGTTGCAAAACGGTGAAATTCTCCTTTTTCATTCCTCCTTCATTTATTGGCAGGAATATTTCTACAAGGAGAAACTTCCCTTCGTCAACAATTTAGATAACCCATGAATGGTTCCTACAGGGAAGACTGAGTAAGTGTGTGATTCTTTCCCTTTACCAGTTTTCAAAATAGTGAGCTGGTTCCCTACCACCTGCAGACGTGTGATGAGCTGTGTTCTGGGAACCTATCACTGCAAAACGAATTACCCAACGTTAGCTACTTAAGACAACCACCATTTTATGATATCTCAAGGTTTTGTGGGTCAAGAATTTGGGCAGGGCTCAGCAGAGCGCTCGGCCCCACGCAGCACTGAGGCCGCAGGGTGGGATCCAGCCGGCTGATCTGGGGGCCCCGAGAAGGCTTCTTCCAAGTCCGGCACCTTGGCCGGCACGGCTGGAAGGTGGGCGCAGCTGCAACTTCTCCAGCACAACGGTCCCGGGACAGCCAGGCTTCTCATGTGGCAGCTCGGGGCTCCCGCAGGGGGTTCCCACACAGCAGGAGGAAGCTGCTGGTTTCTTAAGGCCTGTATCATACTGACTGGATCACACTGACTGCATCCCACTGGCCAAAGCAGTCACAGAGCCCACCCAAGGTCAGGAGGAGGGGTACGAAGACCCCATCTGCAGAAGGAAGTGGTGTCAAAAACTCTGGCCTTTTTAATGTGCCACAAATTATGTGGGGTTTTGTTCTGTTTCAGTTCTTTCGGGGGGCATTTTTATGAACTCATAGATTCAAACATGATCCATGAGTTTCAGTCTGCTGTAATTATTCTTATGGAAGCTCTAGTTGTCCCTATTTTGGACAGAAGGAACTCTGCAAGTTGTCTCCTTGTACAATTCTTCCTGAGGCACAGCATCAGGCATTTCTCCAAGGAACAAAGGACCCTTTGTTATAAATAAATGTTCACCTACTGTGTAGCCTGACTGTAAAAAGGGTCCCAATTGTCCACCCCTCAACTCCCATCAGGAGGTAAAATGTATTTCCCCTTGAATTGGGGCTGACCTAATGCCTTTCTTTGGCCAAAAAGAAGGGCAGAAGTGATGGTGTGCCATTTCTGAGACTAGCCCCGAAAGGCCTTGAGAGCCACCACCTCCCTCTTGGGCCCCTGACACCACCACAAGTCTAGGCTAGCCGGTTGGAGGGATGTGAGAGATTTGTGGAGAGAAGCCCCTGTCGTCCTAGCCAAGGGCATCCTAGACCAGCCTAGCCTCAGATGACCCACCAGGTGACAGCAGATGTGTGAGTGAGCCCAGGCAGGAACAGTGAAGTTCTGCCAGACCAAAAGAACAGCTCAGCCAAACCCACAAACTCATGTGCAGCAAAAAATGGTTGTTGTTTCAAGCCCCTGTTTGTGGTGTTTGTTACTCACCATCAGTTCAGCAATGGATAACTCATACACCCGCTCCAGGAGAGCCAGTGTTTACCTGTTTCACATTCCTTCTACTTCCTGCCCACAGGCAAGCTGTTTTTGCATAGTTGTTATCAGAATACAAATACAATTTCGTAATATGTTTTTCTTCACACTTACTGTTATTCAGTTTCCCAAACTGCTTTATAATCACCACAATTATTTCAATGGCTGTACCGTAATCCACTTGGTTAATCTATTCACCTTTCCCCAACCAGTTAATGTTTAGTTGTTTCCAATATTCTTCCCTAACCAAATTTTAAGACCCGACAGGACACTTAGTGCTTAAAGCACGAGCTCTCAAGATATCTCAAATATCCGAACTTATCATACGGTTTAGCTCTTTTCTTCTGTCATTCTCTTGTTGGTTAAGAACAGCTCCAAAACGCTTCTCGGCATGAAGAAGCAAGCACTCAAATCCCCACCCCCCCACCCCCATCCCTGGCATGTGACCAGCTGCCCAGAGAAGCCGAAAGAACGTGCTGAGTTCTGCTGGGCCCCACAGCACTGGGCAGTGGGACACCAAACAGCAAGTACAAAATACTGTCCTGTTCAGCATTCTTTTCAGAGCTCCCATGAAACAGGGCTCTGGATAAAGGATTTCACTTTACCTTTGAGAAGAAAGAACGTAAACTTGACACGAAACCATACAGAGGCACTGAACTACTCCATAAACGCCCTCCCTCTCTGCAGTCCACACTCCTGAAGGGAAACTAGGTTGCAGTTTGTTTGTTTATTGGCCATGCTGCCTGGCTTGTGGGATCGTAGTTTCCCAACCAGGGATCGAGCCCAGGCCCTCAGCAGTGAACGCGCAGAGTCCTAACCACTGGACCGCCAGGGAGTTCCCAGGTTGCAGTTTAAAGTGCAGGTGACTTCACTGCTGCCAGGAGCAAAGCTAGGGTCACCTCTCCATCCACTGCTGCAGCTGGAGGCTGGGTGCTGCCTACTCTGTGCCCAGGCCCGGCCAGGCTCCGGGGATGCTGAGATAAGCCAGGCCCGGTCCTCATTCTCCAGGGGTTCACAGTGACATTGGAAGAGGGGACAGGCCGGGAAATCACAAATCACGGCACTCAGCATTTGCTGCCACGGCACCTGAATAGAGCAGCCTGGGAGGGCGCGAGAGGCAGAGGTGGCTTCCAGCGCAGGTGTGCTGGTGCACAAAGGACAGTGACAGCACATGCTGATGGGGCGCCCGCCATGCACCAGGCACTGCCCCGAGTTCTGTGCTTCACTGCTTCCTTGAAACCTCAAACCACGGTATTTGCCAAGAGAGGCCAAGTCCTCTGCTAACAGCCACACAGACAGCAGTGGAGGAGCCAGGGCTGAAGCCACGCATGGCTCTGGCTCCAGGGTCTGGATGTCTAACCCCTGGATGCACTGCGTCTCCAAATGGGGGGCTGAGGAGGCATAGAAAGCATAGCACGTACACAGATGGAAAAGAAAGACAGTTTCAGCAGTGGGTCAACAGGGGAAAACGTGCAGCCTCCTGCACTGGCAGGGACCAGGGGAGTAGTGGGGAAGAGAAGTGGCTGAGAGAAGCCGAGTAACATCTCTCAAGGTGGCGGCAGGGAGAGTGAGTCCGGGGCGGGGGGATGTACAGGGTGGCAAAGCCCCTGCCGACCCCGACGTGTGCCCCCACTGGCCCCCTGCCCCCTCAAAGGTTCACTGCAGTGCTCTGGACCCAGGAGCTGCACAGGGTCGGCGAAGTTTTTGGCTGAGGAACCCAGCAGGGATGTGGAGGCCGCCCCGAGGGAGGGAGCAGACCAGGCCTGGACCAAGGAGGACACAGGACCTCACCCTGAGGAAGTGAGAGGCGAGGAGAGGAGTCTAGGAAGACTCCAGGCTCCTTGCTGGGTGGGCACCACCCGGGACTCAGGGCCCACACACTGCTCTTCCAGCCTCACGCCTTTCCGTGGCCTCTCAGTCAGTCCAGCCGGCACCCGCTTGGCCTAACGGGAGGGAGGTGAAAGGAAGCACCGAGCCCTCCCCACAGCCCTCGCCCCAATCTCCTCCCCATACCACCCCACAGGATGCTGACCTCCCCAGCGCACCCCGAGGTGCCAGGCGACAGGGCACCACTGTGACCAGCACGAACTGGAGGCAGGTGGGGCTCTGGTTTCTCACCCAAATTCCCACTGCCGTGTAACCACACTCAGCCGTGCTGAGACATCCCGGGACTTCCTGATAACCAGGAGCACGGGACACTCCACCACGTATACTAACCCAGGCCCTTCTCCCTGCGCACGAAAGGCCCGGACGAGCAAAGTGTAAGGGGAGGCGGCACGATGGCGTGGAGGCACCTGCACAGGACAGTCCATGCGCCGGTATGGGATTAACCATGCTGATAAACGGGCTCTGGAAGACAACCAAACCCTGGTTTATACTTACCAGTAAAAATTCCAGTCCTCGTTTTCTGTCACTTGGACCCATCCTCTCTTTTCAAAGTTATTTATCAGCACCGACTTCTCGATATCAGTGACCCATTTCACTTTTCCTGCCATAATCCTGGAAGAGATCACCCTATCGGAGCCATGAAACTTAACAACTCACGTCCCTTCGCCCAAAGGAGTCCTCTGCACGAGGTGAGCAGACGTCCCCCACCCCCAGCTTAGTCCTCCCCACAGTGGCTCTCAGCCAGGGCAGGTCACCCCCCTGGGGACATCTGGCAACACCTGCAGCACTTCGCTTGCCAGGACTGGGGGTGAGGGACGCTTCTGGCATCTGCGAACAGAGGCAGGGATCCTGCTCAACGCCCTCTGACGTACACTGTGCCCCACCCCAGCCCCCGCCAACAAAGCATCCAGCCCCAAAGGCCAGCTGTGCTGAGACTGAGAATCCTGGTTAAGTGGGAAATAAAGGCAACACACGCCAAATGGCAGCTGTGATTGGAGCCACAAGGAGAGGCACAAGGACAGGCACCACTGTGAGAGTGGAGGCAGCTGGGAAGGCTGCCCTCAGCAGGGACCCTGGAGCTGACTTCTGACGGGTGGGTGGGAGTACTCACTCCAGACTGGGCACACCCCGTCCCCTCAAGTTCTGCTTATCTCCTTGCTGCTTCCGGATTCGCTACACCAATTCAGTCTCTTTAACTGTGGGTGATCTTGTTTAATATGTATCTATTTGTTTATTTATTTTGGCTGCATCGGGTCTCAGTTGCGGCACGCGGGATCTTTTTAGTTGTGACATTTATGTGGGATCTAGTTCCCCGACCAGGAATCAAACCCGGGCCCCCTGCTTTGGGAGCACGGAGTCTTAGCCACTGGACCACCAGGGAAGTCCCTAACTATGGGTGATATTAAGTGTTTTTCTGACCACATCAATCCCGGTGAAACGTGGCTCTCACTGTACTTAAAATATGCAGCCCCCTGGCCCTAACCTGCTTTTCCAGGTACATCTTGTGCCACCTTCTCCCTCACCCGCTGTTCCTGCCACATTGGACTTCTCTGCCCACCTCCTCTTCTATCTCAGGGCCTTGGCACATGCTCTGCCTGCAGCACTCCGCCCTGCTCTGCCTGGCCAAGCTACCGCCCACTAGTCTGCCAGCATAAGTGAATGTCACTTCCTCCACAAAGCCTCTCTGACTCTCCAGACCAGCTACGTGGCCCCTTGGCACCCTGCAGTTCTGTCCTTGCTAGAGGGCAGGACCTGGCTTTCTTTGTCACTGCTTTGCACCCAGGGCCTGGCACCGTGCCTGGCATGCAGCAAATGATCACTTCAGAGAGAATGAGTGACTGTGGTCACAGGCCTGTCAGTACCACCATGTGACTTTCAGAAAGTTTCTGGACTTGTTTCCTCCTTTGAATTCTGGTTTTCAAATTGCTGGGGAAGCCCAGGATTCTAGGCTCCCACCCTAGCTCCGACCAGAGAAGGCTGCATTTGTTACACTTCTGTGTACCTCTTCACAGAAGGTGAAGGGCTTTCAGGAAGGAGGGCTTCTGCGAAAAACTGGGCTTGAAAGCCAGGGGACCTGATGAGCCTCGAGGGCCTTTTATGAAAGGAGGCACCTCCCCCATGGACTTGTAACAGCTTCACATTTGGGGCAACTTAACAGGGCAGAAAAGGCATGGAACGTAGAGATGGGGACCCAGGTATGTGTTGCTTGGGAGAGGAAAAGAAAAGACACTCTCATGATAGAATCCACCAGGCAGAGCTCGGGGTGCTTCCACCCAGCATCAGCCCACTCCCTCCTCGCGTTGCCCAGCAAGGCAGGTAGTGTCATCGAGGCGGGACTGTGGTCAAGCATAGGTCCCGGAGCTTGGGTTTGAGGCCCAGCTCCACCACTCACTAGCTGTGTGACTTTGGGCAAGTTACTTAACCTCTCTGAACTTGTTTCCCCCTCTGTAAAATGGGGATAACAACAGTATCTACCCATGTCATAGGTTGGAGTGAGAAGTAAATGCGTGAACACATGTAAAGCACCGAGAACGGTGCCTGGACGTAAGGAAGCACTCAGGAAGCATCTCATACGATTGTCATTATCCCCGGTTTTCAGATGAGGAAGCTGAGGCTCAAAGGTTAAGAGCCTGTGTAAGAACAGACCAAAGGGACTGATGGTGGCTTGAGTCAAACCTAGGGTGACCCTACTCTAAACCTCTTTCCACACAACCCATCTCTTCCCTCTGTGAACTTGGCCTTCATCAGGATGATGACAACACCCACAGGGTCAAAGTGAGGAATAAATGGAACCACTCTCTGCAAACTCTAAGTGCCACATGACAGCCACATAAGGTTGCTAACTGATCGGTCATGACCCACGTGCAGGTCAGCAGCCACCGCACGGAAATGATGGCAGAAGCACCACAGAAGTCGAGTCCCCGTGTGCCGGTAACTCATGTCTGTACCGGAGCAAACCCCGCATGCCTCACACCCCCTTGCACTGTCCAGGCCGACTGCTGAGGGGAGTTCACTTTTTCACCACGGGTGATTTGCACATACTGCGTTTGTTACAAATTGAAGTTTTGTGGCAACCCTGCATCGAGCAAGTCTGTTGGCACCATTTTTCCAACAGTCTTTGCTCACTTCGCGTCTCTGCGTCACACTATTCTTGTACTATTTCACACGCCTTCATTATTATATATGTGCTACGGTGGTCTGTGATCTAGTGATCTCTGGTGTTACTACTGTAACTCACTGAAGGTGCAGGTGATGGCTACCATTTTTTAGCAATAAAGTATTTAGTTAAGGCAGGTACCTCTTTTAGACAAGTTGCTAACGCCCAATACAGTCTGCAGTGCAGTGTAAAGATAACTTGTAAATCCAGTGGGAAACCAAAAAACTCATGTGACTTGCCTTCTTGCAATAATTCGCTTCACTGCAGTGGTCTGGACTGGAATCTGCAGTTATCCCTGAGGTCGGCCTGTATTTGATTTCAGTCTGAACAGCCCTGCATCCCTGACCAATCCTGCTCGTACTCTGCCCCCTAGAGTCCAACTGCAGACACAGGATTTCAGTGAGAATCACCCCCAAGCCAGGTAGCGCCTACACCACAACCCACACCCTGCACTTCAAAGGCCAGTCTCACTGGGCGACCTCACTCCCGCCACAACTCCCACCTGGAGATGACGCAGAAGTAAGAGCAAAAACACAGAATAATGATAAAGGCCGTATTTTATACGTGTGCTGCGCTTCAGTCATAAAATAGTCTGAAAATGCTTCCAAGGGTACAGTCCTAAACCCAATAAGGCTGATGGGGCAAAAATTCTCACCTTCACTTTACTGAGCAGGAAATGGAGCCTCCGAGAAGGGTAGGTTTCCTCTCTGCCCCCTGCACCCTCCACCTGCTGTGTGGACAAGTGGTCACCAAGGAAAACATCTGAGCCCGGACCTACCATAGGTACTTATGGAGCCAACAGGAACATCCAATTTCTCTTCAGTTTCACCAAATTTTGACTCGGATTCTTACCTAAAATAAAATACACAAATGATTGGCACAAAAACAGACATATGGATCAATGGAATAGAATAGAGAGCCCAGGGACTTCCCTGGTGGCGCAGTGGTTAAGAATCTGCCTGCCAGTGCAGGGGACGCGGGTTCAAGCCCTGATCCGGGAAGAGCCCACATGCCGCGGAGCAACTAAGCCCGTGCGCCACAACTACTGAGCCTGCGCTCTAGGGCCCGTGAGCCACAACTACTGAAGCCTGTGTGCCTAGAGCCCGTGCTCCGCAACAAGAGAAGCCACTGCAGTGAGAAGCCTGCGCACCGCAACAAAGAGTAGCCCCCACTCGCCACAACTAGAGAAAAGCCCATGCGCAGCAACGAAGACCCAACACAGCCAAAAATAAAAAAATAAATGTATTAAAAAAAAAAGATTAGAGAGCCCAGAAATAAACCCACATACCTATGGTCAACTAATCTTTGACAAAGGAGGCAAGGATATACAATGCAGAAGACAGTCTATTCAGCAAGTGGTGTTGAGAAAGCTGGACAGCCTCATGAAAATCACTGAAGTTAGAACACACCCTCACACCATACACAAAAATAAACTCAAAATGGCTTAAAGACTTAAATATAAGACATGACACCAAAAAACTCCTAGAAGAGAACATAGGAAAAACATTCTCTGACATAAATTGTACCAGTTTTCTTAGGTCAGTCTCCCAAGGCAATAGAAATAAAAGCAAGAATAAACAGATGGGACCTAATCAAACATAAGCTTTTGCACAGCAGAGAAAACCATAAACAAAATGAAAAGACAACCTATGGACTGGGAGAAAACGTTTGCAAATGATGCAACTGACAAATGCTTAATTTCCAAAATATACAAAGAGCTCATACAAGTCAATAACAAAAAAAACCCCAACCCAATCAAAAAATGGGCCAAAGACCTAAATAGACATTTCCCCAAAGAAGACATGCACATGGCCAACAGGCACAAGAAAAGATGCTCATCATTGCTAATTACTAGAGAAATGCAAATCAAAACTACAATGAGGTAACACCTCACACCAGTCAGAATGGCCATATCAAAAAGTCTACAAATAACAAATGCTGGAGAGGGTGTGGAGAAAAGGGAACCCTCCTACACTGTTGGTGGGAATGTAAATTGGTGCAGCCACTATGGAAAACAGTATGGCAGTTCCTCAAAAAACTAAAAACAGAGTTGCCATATGATCCTGCAATCCCACTCCTGGGCATATGTCTGGAGAAAACTAATATAATTTGAAAAGACACATGCACCCTAATGTTCATAGCAGCACTATTTACAATAGCCAAGACATGGAAACAACTTAAATATCTATCAACAGATAAATGGATAAGGAAGATGTGGTACGTATATACAACGGAATATTACTCAGCCATAAAAAAGAATGAAATAATGCCATTTGAGGCAGCATGGATGGACCTAGAGATTATTATACTAAGCGAAGTAAGTCAGGAGAAAGACAGATATCATACGATATCACTTATATGTGGAATCTAAAATAAGACACAAATGAACATATCTACGAAAAAGAAACAGACTCACAGACATAGAGAACAGACTTGTGGTTGCCAAGGGAGACGG